TTTTCCAATCCCTCTTCTCCCCTCAATCTCCCCACATCTTCCTATATACAAAAGCTTTGTTTCCAGTTTTTCCTTCTGTTTTAACTTCTTTCCTTGTCCCTTCTTTCCTTTCTCCCTCCCTCCTCCCTTGTCCCCCTTCCCATTTGAACATTTTCTTCCCATTTCCCAATATCTATCAAACATTTTAGTCCTTATTTCTATTTTTGGTTTCTTACACCAAAGAGACAATGTGGTATTTAGACGTGTGTGTCCGATTTATGTTACTGAAGAGTATGGTCTCAAGGTACATCCATTTAGCTAGAAATGTCTCAAGCTCATCCTTCTTTATGGCAGAGTAGTACTCTGTTGTATAAAAAAACCACCTCTTCTTTATTCATTGGTTGATGGGCATTTGGGCTCTTTCCAAGATTTAACTATTACAAAATATGTTCCACCATAAACATGGGTGTGCATATATCATTGTGGTGTGATGCTTTTCATTCTTTGGGGAAGATACCAAAACGGGAAATAGCTGGGTCAAGTGGAACCTCTAGTTTTAGTTTTGTGAAGAATCTCCACACTGATTTCTACAGTGGTTGCACCAGTCTACACTCCCACCAACAGTGGAGAAGGGTTCCTTTTTTGCCACAGTCCCACAGCATTTATTATTGGTTGATTTCTGATGATAGTCATTCTTTCTGGAGTGAGATGGAATCTTAGTGTTGTTTTAATTTGCATCTTTCCAATAATCAGTGATGTTGAACATTTTTTCATACATTTATTTGCTGTTTCTATTTCTTCATCTGAAAAGTGTCTGTTCAGTTGAGATGCCCATTTTGGATTGAGTCTTTAAATTTGGGGGGTCTGATTTTTTGAGTTCTTTATATATTCTAGATAGTAGTCTTTTGTCTGAGGAATAGTTGGCAAAATTTTTTTTCCCATTTATGGGTTGTCCCTTCACTCTGTTGGTGGTTTCTCTTGCTGTGCAAAAGCTTTTTAATAAGATGAGATCCCCGTTAGTTCTTTGTGATAGTTCCTGTGATTGGAGTTTTGTTCATAAAGTCTTTGCTTACATCAGTGTCTTCGAGAGTTCTACTTACTCTATCTTCCAAGAGATTTAGTGTTTCTGTTTTAATATTTAGATCTTTAATACATTTTAATTTTAGGTTAGTGCATGGTGAAAGATATGGGTCTAGTTTCAATCTTTGGCATGTGGAAAGTCAGTTGTTCCAGCACCATTTATTAAAGAGGCTGTCTGTCTTCCAGTGAAAGTGTTTAGCTCCTTTGTCAAAGATAAGGTGGCTCAGTATGTCTAAAGTTGTTTCTGCATCTTCTTTTTTTTGGTTCTGGGCATCAGACTCAGGACCTTGAGCTTGCAAGGCAGGCGTGGAGCCACTGAGCAAAATCCTGCATTTTCTAATCTGTTCCATTGATCCTCAGATCTGTTTTGTGTTGTTTTTTTTTACCAGTACCATGCTGTTTTCCTCTCAATAGATGCAGAAAAAGTGTTTAAAAGGTCCAACACCCATTCATGATAAAAAAAAAACCCTACTTCCTCCCCAGAATTTGGTATATTCAGTTTCACCAACATTTCTTATGCAACTACAAAATTAAATATATCAAAGTAGATTCTCCATGGTTAAGGCCAGTTTTCAGTTTATTTTGACTTGTATTTCCTGATAACATATGATACAGAGCATCTTTTCACATATCCATCTGTGTATTATATATTGTATAAGTGTTAATATGTTTAGCTTATTTTTAAATTGGATTATTCTTTTTTTTAATTGTAGAGTTTTTAGTGTTTTTTGGTACAGTTTGGACAACAGTTTCATATATGTCTTTTGCAATTATTTTCCCATTCTATGGCTTGTCTTTTCATTCTCTTGATATTGTTTGTTCAGAGTGGAAGTTTTTAATATTAGTAAAATTCAACTCATTACTTTTTTCTCTCATGGTTTGTGCCTTTGATATTGTATCTAACAAGTCAATACCAGATTTCTTTGCGAAACAAAAATATAAGGAAACACTTCATAGGCTGCTTTACAGAATTAAATAGGCAAAAATAAAATACATATTTTGCATGTACTCAGGTAATGACAGTTGTGCATGCATAACAGTTATGAATAGATGGATGGTATTCTCGAAGAAGTAGTTCAAAAAGTGAAATGTGTAACTATGTGTCACTGTTGTTAGTAATTGTATACACCTCACCTTATCACAGTGGTCACCTGAAATTCTGTGATGGAGAAGCAGTCTTTTTATCGGAGTGACCAAAAATCACTATGTGTCACCACTGCATATATAGCCACCTCTAACTAGGAGCTTCTTCCTAGTAGCACATTCACCTATGAACTTACCAATAAGATAAATCTGCTGCCCCATGATCCAATCAACTTTCAAAAGCCTCATCTCTGAACATATGAGATGTTTGGGGGACATTTTAGATCTAAACTGTAACATTCTGCCCCTGGCCCCTAAAAGGCTCATTTCCATCTCATCATGCAAAATACATTTAGTCCATCTCTAAAAATTGACATCTTAACAGTTCCAGCATTGCTGAAAACAGTTTCAGTCTTCTCTGAGACTAAAGGCAAACTCTTGGCTGTGAGCCCCTGGAGAAGTCAAAGAAGAAAGTTAAGTACTTTTAATATGTAATGGCACAGAATAAGCATTCCCATTCTAAAAGGGAGGAATAGATAGATGAAATCCAGCAGGGCAGACATTAAATCCTATACTTCCATGTCTAGCACCTGTGGCAGGTTGTGGTAAGGTATGAACTCCAAGGGCTTGAGCAGCTCTATTCCTATGTCCTTGCTGGTCATAGCCCACATGGCCTGTCTCTTGAACTGGCTCTGTCTGATGCCTGGAGTTTTCCTCAGCAGACATTTCACATTCCTGGCATCTCCAAATTCCTGAAGTCTCTGCTATACTTTTGGCTTCATATATCATCTTTTCAGGGCCTTCTGGCAGGGACTTTGACCCTGTTATGCATTTTTACTTGGCCTTTTAGGCCTTCTTCTAAAATGTAGGTGGAAGCCTCCATGATTTCATAACCCTTGCATTCTACATGCCTGAAGAACCAGCACCGTATGGATGGCGTGAAGGGCTGCTGCCAGCTTGAGCAGTAGCCTGGTCGCTTGGATCATGGCTGCAGTGGCCTTTGAGTACCTGCATGGCTGGTCTCAAGGAAGTACTTTCCCAGGCTTTTGTAGTCCTAAATGAGCAGGAGACCTTGGGGCTGCAAAATCTTTCAAAAGAGCTTACCCTTTTCTACTCTTAAGTCTGTGATGGGTGGGGTCTGGCCAGCTTCTGAGATGCCTTCAACCCATCATTGCTGCAGTCCTGATGCAAAGTACATGGCTTCTTTTTTTTGGTACCAGGGATCGAACTCGGGACCTTGTGCTTGTGAGGCAGAACCACTGAGCTAAATCCCTGGCCTACATGGCTTCTTTTAAATGCTAATCTTTTCAGCAACAGTCTCCTTTGCCTCAACTTTATAAGCACTTCCTTTCTGGCCAAGCTTCACACCATTTGGCTCTTCTGTTTGCTTCTGATTCTCACTGTAAATCTGACTGAAAGAATCCAGCAGTATCCATGCCAGAACCTGAATGTTGGGCTACCTTGAAATGTTTTCTCCCAGATTAATTAGTCCACCACCTTTAATCTCAGTCTCCTTCAAAGTCTCAGGACATGGGAAAAATAGAGACACCTTTTTTTTGGCCAGAATGTGATACATATGGGCTCTAGTCCATTTGCCAGTGGAGTTCTGTTTTCAGCTGAAAGCTCTTGTACCTGGCCTTTACTGTCTGCATTCCTCTCAACATTCTTATCTTCTGAGCTCACACATCAAATATGTTTCACAATACTCCAAGGCTTCTTTAGTCTGAATTTTCAAACTTTTCTAAATCCTCCTTGCAAAACAGTTCCATAGGCTTCTGAACCACATGGTACAATCACAGCAAGAGAGATGACTAAGGAAACACTTCTGAATAATTCATTTGTCAAAGAATAAATTACAGTAGAAATTAGAAAAATTTGAGCTGAGTGATAAGAACAGTTAAGTATGGGATAGAGACTAAGTAATGTTTAAGGGAAATTTCATAGCATTAAAATACATACAGTTTAATGAGCAGTAACAACAAAGGCTGAAAACCAATAATCTAAGTACCCTGGTTAAGAACAGAGTACTTGATCAACCTGATAAAAATATGTGTGAGAAATCCATGGTTAAGATCATATTTCCTTATGAAAGACCGAAAGCTTTTTCCTTTAGGACCAGGAACCAAATAGTGATATTTCCTCTTGTATTTATACTCATTATTGTCGTAGAGGACAATAGACCAGGGAAGTTAGACAAGAAAACATGTTTGAAGTCAGGGCAGTGGTTAACCTGGAGGAGGTGCATAGAACTGGGTTTGGAGGGAATACCAGGGAACTTTCAGGCTGTATTGTTACATTCTTTGTCATGGGTGGTGTTTATATCATGGGTCTTTGCCTTGTAATAAGTTACCTGTTTATGTTTTTTGTACTTTGTGGTGTTTCTGCTTTTTATTTGCAATAATTTATGTATATGTTTATGTTTTATGAACTTTTGTATATATTAATTTCACAATAAAAAGATTAAAAGGATTAGGAGGTCTTAGAAAGGTGTACAGTAAGTCCCTGACTTATAAGCATTCACAGTTGTGAACTTTCACAGCTGTACTGTATAAGACTCACTTTGTTGGCTTATGAACGAATCCAACTTATGAACAATTCTGAAAGGGAACTCATTTGTAAGTTGGAGACTTACTGTACCAATGCCATTTGTTGGTCTTTAGACTCTCAACTTCACATACTTGTTATTTTACCAAATAGAATAAAAGAATTAAAAGCAAAATTAGATCAGTACATTAATTAGGCAGCTTCTTCAATGAATATAATGTAAAACTTATTAATACACAAGTCCTTCACTATAATACTCTTTTCTTGAACCGTTTTACTCTCAGAATGTAAGTTAATTTTTTTGTTTAAATTAGGAGGTGTTAATGATGCTGGATAACTATGTGAGAGATTTCAAAGCATTGATTGACTGGATTCAGCTTCAGGAGAAGCTAGAGAAGACAGATGCTCAAAGCAGGTATTGAACTCTGCACTTGCATTTGTAGTAATCAACAATTTCAATAGCAGTCATTGAAACTGACAGGAAATTTAACCTCACATTGACTTGAAACATGTAAAAACCTAAAAGTTTGGTGCTACATTTTTCACTTGGTTCAGTAAGAGGTATTTTATCATGTACCTGCCAATGCAAAGTACATTATTCAGGTCAGAAATTTAATTGTTGAATACAAAACATTTACTACTGTCATGGAATTTGTAGTCTAAGAGTATGATAAAAATAGAACTTGTAGTACATAAAATTATTATGGGTGTTCAAGAAGAACATTTCTTTTTTTTTTTTGGTACCAGGAATCAAACTCAGGACCTTGCACTTGCAAGGCAGGCGACGGAACCACTGAGCTAAATCCTCAGTCCAGGACATTTTATTTTTGAGGATCAATCAGAAAAGGTTTCATGGAGGTTGCATAAGTGTTTAAATGTGATGGATTTTACTAAGGAAGGGAGTAAATTAGAACAGTATGTGAGTGCAGACCAGTGGTAAAATAAAAGTAAATAGGGAAAGATATAGTGTATCTTCTCATTATGGTAGGGAAACGGATGATTTTTGATTTGGAAAGTAATGGGAGATGAAAGCTCTTTTAAAATAAGATTCATTTGGTGTCTACACATAATATCTGGGTGTTATACGTCAGGCTCAGGGACCCTGGTAAAGACACACAGTTCTTGCCCTTGTGAAGTGTGTAGTATGTGCTGTGGTCTAATTGTGTCCTCCCAAAATTCACATGTTGAAATGTGATCACCAAGGTGGGAGAGAGGGGAGGGAGAGGAAAGAGAAGTAAAAAATTAAAATGTGTTATGTGCATGTACAAATTCCCCATGATGAAAATAATCATTATGTACTACAAATATGCATAAATAAAAATTAAAGAAAGGAATTTAATCACCAGTATGATAGTATAAAGAGGTGGAGCCTTTAGAAGGTGATTAAGTTATGAAGGTGCTGTCATGAACCCTGAGAAAATAGACCTAGGCTACCTCTTTGTTTTGAATTTAACTTGGCTTCAATCTCAGTGGGTGGAACCATGCACTAAAAAGGCATCTTTTGTCTAATATCATAGTCCCAAGAGGGGACAAGAAGATAAAGGGCTCCCTAGAGACAAATCTAGGAGAGCTGGATCTTCAGGAAATCGAAATCAGAAAATATGAATTGATCTTTTAAATATTTTTGTTTTTCATGATGAAACATTTTGATTTTTTATTGCCTGCTTCATTTATAGTCTCTGGGTGGCTCAGTTCTAGGTATTTTTGTTTCTATCAAGCAGTTTTACCCTTGCCCCTTGGCAGTAGGCAATTGGATCTGGGGGTACATTCTTTCACTGGGCTGAACTAAACTAAAAGATTAGTATACTGACTTGTCTGACTAGTAGCTGTATTGCCCCCGTGAAGGTAAGGAGAGGAAAGCAGGTTGAAAGAAAATGGAATAGATTTACAAAGAGAAGCAGAGATGAGAGAAATCATGTGTTATAAAGAGCTCAAGAGTATTGCCTTACGGTCTGTCTGTTCCAGGTCTAATCCTCATGAACCCTGATTGTAGTTTTTCCTTCCCTTTGGAAGTCCCTGATCTGACACAGTTTATATCCTTACCATAAGTCTTTTTTCTTTTCAGTTTTAATTTAAGTTTCTGGGTTTTTTTCTGGACTTAAAAGGATCTATAATGTAACTACCAAAGGCGTTTGAGAAGAACAATTTAAAAAATCATGCTTTCAAATTTCAGTCAGGTAGTAGTGGCTGCATTGAAAATTGTATTGAAAAAATTTAGAGTCCAGCTCCAAGCTTGACAATGATGGCTTTCCCTGTCCTGGTACCATGGTTCAAAAATATACCTGAGGCATCTGTTTTTACCTGAACCAGTTAGCAGCATTTCTTCTCTTTGCCATCTGAGGCAGTGCCAAGATACGGAATGCAACCTTAAATTTCCTGTAGATGGCATTATTTGTCTTACTTTCTTCAAGTCATGTACAATATTCGTTTCCGCTTGACTTCAGATTTAAATGTGGAAATTGTTCATATTTAAGGAAGTAAATATTGATGAATGTTTATATATTTGCATTATGGGTAAGGACTAGGTAGAAACTACAAAGAAAAATATTGATTCACTTGATTTAACAAGAAGAAAGCAAGCCTTTCTATATAAAAACAGTTAAATTGAAAGCAAAATAATTGCAACACCAATGCCGACAGACTTGTAACCGTAATAATAATAGTATGCTAGTAAACTATTTTAGGTTCATTAGAAAGTGACACAAATCCCAGTGGAAAAGGGCTAAAGATACCAATATGCAAATCCCAGAAGACAAAATTCAAATCAGTAGTAAGCTATAATAATAAATGTGTATAATTTAAAAATGAAAACAATGAAATAGCATTTTGCCAGAGTAATTTTTAAAAGAAGATAGGGACTTTTGGCCAGGTTGAAGGGGATACTCTTTATCCAGTGAGAGTATTGTAAGTTACATTTCTGGCTTTACCATTTTTTTTTCCAGTATTGGGGATCAAACTCAGGACCTTGCACTTGCCAGGCAGGTGCAGTGCCACTGAGCTATATCCCTGCCCCTGTATGTTACATTTCTGGAAGATGACTTGGAAATAATTGGCAAAATAGGGCCGGGGATTTAGCTCAGTGGTTGTGGTGCCTGCCTCGCAAGAGCAAGGTCCTGAGTTCGATACTTGGTACCAATAAATAGGCAATAGGTTTAGGCTTTTGAATACATTGTGTGAATTTTCTTTCCTAACAATGTCACTTTTTAAATGAGAAATGAAAAATCTCACTCACCAAACTTACTAGTCAGCTGCAGAAGACCCAGGGTGGTGACAAGATCTGACTGAGGGAATGGGAATAGAGAAGACATTGCTTAAAGGAACATTTTGGGGACTTCGTCCTGTCCGGTGACTGATTGTGGGGCCAGTGGTGATACAGACACAGATGTTAAGTTGCATTTTTAGCTTTCCTATTGAATAACAATGAAATAATTATGTTCCCTGTCTCATGGGTGATTATGAGAGGCTGGAGACTTCATATTTTCCTGTATATTCTCTACTTAACCCTCACCCTTTCTTTGTATCTTGATTGTTGTTGCATCAGAGTAGCCTGAACTAATACCATTGCCTTTTGATGTATTTTTAGCTGGGTGTGTGGAAGCTTGTAAATCCTAAAGTGTCCTCAAGTCTCTATAACCCCATAACCTTTTTGAGATAAGTAAAGTCCCTTTGCTTTGGTGCCCTTTATAGAATATCCTGGACCTTGCACCATCTGTGATTTCTCACCAGTAGTGTGGTAACTTTCTAGTAAGCAGTACTGTAGGGAAAAATTGAGACTTAATTATGTTTTTATTAGTAACAACCAAGAGAAATTATTAGTTTGTTTTTCCTTTTTCTCAGTTAATTGAATATGCTGTGTGTCTTGAATTGACAGACCAACATCACTTGCATGGGAAGTAAAGAAGATGTCTCCAGGACGTCATGTGATTCCAAGTCCATCAACAGATAGAATAAATGCAGCTTCAAATGCTCGAAGAAGCTTAAATTTCGGGTGAGATGAACTCAAAAAAGCCTACAAAGTCTTGTATTACTATCAGTTATGTTCTGCGGATAATATAAAGCATAATATTTCACATAAAAATACTCATATATGTGTTGGTATGTTAAGGTCAGGAATGTTGGGCAAAGCTATTAACCCTCAGAAAGGAGACACTGTGACACTGTGCACCGATTAGCAATCCCAGGGGACATTGAAACACCAAAGAAAGCTTATATATTATTCTTATTAACTTGTCTGTAGTCCCATATATTATATAATATTATATGAAATTAGTGATTAGATCAAAAAAAATTCATGAATCTAGTTACCTTACATTGCTATAGTACTATTATTCTCTACATAGATATACACAATTAAAAATCTATTATGTTTCACATGTACTTAACATTTCACTTTCCTATTTAATGTATTAGCTATATTTCTTTTTCTCCCTAGGGGTTCACCTGGCACAGTGGTTGCTCCATGTCTGGCTCCTGCAGGTGTCAGCTGGGCTGACAAGGTGAAGGCTCATCACACAGGCTCTGCCTCTTCAGACACAGCCCCTGCTCAGCTGTGCCCACCCATGGCTGTGCAGAAGGTGTCTCGCAGAAATGGCAAGTGACTCTGAAGTAGCCTTTTGTGTAGTAAACAGGTGGATGTATATATACTGTTCAAAACTGGTCCTGATAGAATTAGATATTAATCTTTCTGCATCTTTTTGTGATATCAATTTGCTTAAGTTAAAATCATAGAATAAGGGTATAGCTCAGGGATAGAGTGCTTGCCTGGCATGCACTGGGCCCTGGAGTTGATCCCTTGCACCATGAAAAAAATTTTCCAAAACCATAAAGTTATCTTGAAAACTGAGCATAACTAGTTTTCAGCACTGTATGATAGTCAGTGGCGATCATTTTGGTTTCTGTTTATCCTGTATAAACTTGGAGAAGGATGATGTCTTATCAGTTCATTTATATGATCCCGTAGAATTTTTTGACTTAAAGTAGAAAAAAAAATAGGCTTTTCCATTCTTCAGGCAGTATACATTACAATTTAAGCGGATTTATATTTGATTATTATTTTGGTACTACAAAGTAATCTGTTTACCTCTGCTTGCATGTTTATTTTTTATACCATTGTTATAATTAAGGAACACAAATAAATATAAGGCATGTAATTATGAATTCCTACCTGGGACATTTTACTTGTAAGAATTTCCTTCATAAAACCTTTTTATACATACAGAAATGCTACAGAGGCTGGGATGTGGGCACAATAATTAGTAACAGTGTGTCTGTATCATGAGCGAAGGGAACTTCAGAAGCACTCTTCTATTTTCTCCACTGTCATGTCCCTGTGGAGCTTTTTGTTTCAGAAAGAAGTGTTTTATTGCATATGACAGAGACATTGCTATCTTTGTATTATGAATCTGCTGTATTTTCATTTTCCATTTTGGTCTCACTAAATTGTGTTGGCTTATTTCAAACAATATTATTTACTTTTACCCAATATAATAATGTCCTTGGTTTCTTCATATAGGCTGACTAGTAGCAAACTGACAATAGGCAGAAGTTCTGTATATGTATATTTATATTTGATTACCTATAAATATACATCATGTATTTTATATAAATATAATGCTACATCATATAATTACATATTGTTTTGTTATTTATATTTTATTATTTTTATATGTATATTTTATTTGTTTTCTGCTGGTTTAATAAAATACCAAAGGACGGTGGTTTATAAATAAAAGAGATTTAATTACCTTGTAGTTTTGGAGGCTGAAAGTCTAAGATGGTGGCTCGTCAGTTCATCCTCCGGTAAGGGCCTCCTATAGTGGATGGTGTTACTATGACTGTAGGGAGAACAGTTGTATAGTGAGACTGCAGGCCAGAGAGCAGTTCAAGAATCAGGTTCTCTTTTGTGGCATCTCACTCTTTTATGAACTAACTAGGGTCCCAAAAGAACCCCCTTTAAATCTCTTTCAGGGGCAACACACCAACTGACCTAAGCTCCTCCTGTGAGGCTCTGCCTACTGAGGTTCCCCTGTCTCAGCACTGTATGCTGAAGACCAAACCTCCAAGATATGCACCGTTGGGGACAAAGGACAACCAAACCACAGCAAGCTCTTTATCTTAGAGAAACCTAGCAAAAATGTGGAACCATAAAATTTTAACCTGAGAGAAATATATTTTAGAATAACAAAGGAAACAAAATCTTACAAGAATCATATTGTTAGCACACATCAAGGCTTTATTTAAACCAGTACTTTCATATTATTCACAAATAACCCATTTGGTTGAGATGAAATAATAGATCATGATTATATCTGTGCTTAAAAACTTTATTAAGATATTGAGAAATTATGTTTTGGATTACTTTGGTCTTCAGTTTTGGGGTTCTAGTATGCTGGTATGTGTGCTACTGGTGTGAGCATTCTCGTGTGCTGGTATACACAGTGAATTATGGTATAGCCATAGTTGTAATGTTTCTAATTATGTGCTATAAAATAATTCAAGTTAAAGGTGACTGAGTGATCACATATATTTAACTTGCTCTTCCCCAAACACAGCTAAAATGGTATAGAAAATGATTTAAAAATTGGACCCATGTAAAAGGAGAAGAAATGATATGAGCAAAGTTTGGGAAGGTGGAGAGGAGAAGGACCACTGGTAACTGACAGAATTTAAGTGAGCCAGCTGAATCCTAAGATAAAAATAAGGGACAAAGCTGAAATGCAGTTTAGTTTTCCCCAAAAAATCCTCAAAATGTTGAAAAATTGGTGGTGCAAGTATCTCTAAAGGTGAGGGTAGAGGAAGCGGGGGTGGTACTGTAAGATGCTTAGTCTCTTGAACTCTGTCTTCTTACTTGCAACCAGTCCACATTTATGGTGATCACAGTGATCTGGAAGTAAAGAATCCAGGAAGACAGAAGAGCTTGTTTATACCTACTTGCACACATTAAGAAATGTTAAATTGAGAAGTTAGGGTTTAAATTGATTCTGAGTACACAGAAAATATTGTGGCTAAATCAGGGAGAGAAAAGATATAGGAAAATGTAGCGAAGAATGTGAGAGTCACATCTGTGAATGGAGCTCAGGAAAGGTGGTATGATATTGCAGAAGCAGCATTAGAAGAGGTGATCACTGAAAATTTCCCAAAACTGTTGAAAGGAATCGAGTCTCAGATTCAAGAAGCAGTATTAACCCCAGTGGGAACATACAAAATGAATTTCATCTAGTTATGACACGTTAAAAATACTGACAATTAAAAAGAAAATTCTTTCAAGTAGTTGGAGAAAAAGAGATTCTATTTTCAAAGAAATGAAAGTAAGCTGATGGCTGACTTCACAGTAGAAACCATAGACGCTAGGTGACAATGGAAGGATGTCTTTAAGATGCTGAAAGTAATGAACAAACTAGAATTTTATACCCAACAAAAATACCCTTAAGCAATTTGGCAAATAAAGACAATTCCACACAAATAAAACTTGAGAAAATTCATACTTAGCAGATAGATCTTCACTAAGAGAAGAGCCTTTTAGGTGGAATGAAAGTGAATCTAGGTGGAAACTGACACATGGATAGAGAAATGAAGAGCACTAGCAGGAGTGCACCTGGGGGCAAAGTTAGATATGTACTGACTAGATGAGCATAATGTCCCATGGACCTTGAAACATAAGAAGGCTGAGAATATATGACAGTAATACAGAGGATAGGAGAAGAGTAAATGCTGTATATATTTTCTAGGGCCTAGATGTTTACAAAAGTACTAAATTGTATTCAAGTGTAATAAATCAAGGATGCATATTGTAAACTCTAGGAAACCACTAAGAAGAGTAAAAAAAAGTATGATAGCCTTATAGAGAGGAAAGTGAAGTAATAAAAATAATTTTAAAAAAGAAGACAAGAAAGGAGAAAGAAACATAAAATAGACTGAATTAATGAAAAATTATAGAAGTAAATACCAATATATAAATCTCTGCATTAAATATTTGTTTTGTTTTGTTTTTTTGGTATTGGGGATTGAACTTGGGTCCTTGCACTGTGCAGCAGGTGGCGAAACCACTGAGCTAAATCCCCAGCCCTCTCTGCATTAAATATAAATTGTCTAAATATTCAGTTATAAAAACAAAAATTATAAGATT